AGAGCGTCCTTTATCGGCGGGCAAGATAACGATATCCTCAATTTTTTTTATCCATCCATGAGGGCATGATTTCGTATACCCTGCTTTGCAGCGACTATTTGAGTGGCCAATGCTTTTCACCCATGAAAGCCAAGCTACCGAAGAAACAGGCATTGCTGTGTCTTTTACCTAGGCCTTTCTTTAAATATCAGGTGTATTTAGTTGCCCATCTCCGACAGCATATATTCCTCAAAGTCCCACCTAATTCCCTCATGCACCATTTTTAGTGACCTCAGCATGCCCAACTTGTCATGGAGTAGCTGTGATAACGGTTACAGGTAATCGTAATCCATTAATAAATCCTGTCAAATTGTCATTTTTCCATCTGTAATTGTGTAGGCCAGATGATTTAGACTTCGACTGCACAAAGGCACACACAATTAGCAAGGAGACAGAATTAAAACTTACATCGTCATTGGTCACGTGTAGGGCATGTCTCATTACCGTTCACTGAATATTCCCTCGGCAGGGTGGAAAAGTGAAAGAACCCAATTAGCGGAAGAACTCATCCCTGTTTTGAGGCAATAGGACATCGGTTTTAAGTAGCTCACCAAGGCCGACGAGCCGAAGGCAGTAAGGTTGTCGATAGCAGACAAGAGGTTGCCCATTTTTGAAAGACTGGATTCCGATTGGTTAGCCGTCATTTGGAAAAGAACACTAATTATCGCCGTGCCTCCTGGATATTTAGCTGCTTCAAATGTGTCTCGGAACATGGAGGAGTAGGTGAGTATTTGCATCTAGAAGTTGAGCACCGTCACACAATAGTAGGTGAACTTAAATCAATGGGTCAATAAATTGGATTTGAAATATTGCTTTAAGGATATGAAATTTTGTACAATTTAAAAGGGTTATACAAAAGCACAAACCTCCAGTGGAAAGGAAGCGTTGTCCACAGTGTGCTCCGAACCCCTGGAATTCACACTCTCCCAGTGGAAATTAAAACTATCAACATTGTGGTAGTTCTTTGTCTTGTTATTAAGCGTGACTTTCCAACTTCCACTTATGTATACCAGCACTGAAATGAATAGAATTAAAGAGAGGCATCACCATAAAAAGGGATTATGACACGATTTACAGTGTTTCAACGTATATGAGAGTAGAGGACAGAGGGAAGAATGAAAATGCCTTTGTTTTGGAGGCAAATATGTAAGCTATAATGCATTTAACGTCAGCGTACGCGGCAGGATTAATTTCTACAAAACCAATTTCGTGACGATTTTTTAACAGCTACCTGTCTTTGCACCATGGAGAGAACGTCCAATGCATCTGAATTACTGCTCATTGCTATCACCAAAAGCCACCAAGATATGCCTTGCCTTTGCACGCCACCCCAACTTTTATCTATGAATTCACTTGCGGATGCAAGTACATTGGGCTTACGGAAAAGACAATTGGCGAACAAAACCGCGGACCACTTAACTTATTGGTTTCTAAACAATGACAAAATTAATACAGTCTTCCGCTACAAAACATCTGTTAGACAGGGCTCAACTTGTTGATCTCAAATCCTCTCTCCGAGTTCTTGTTCGAGCACGAACAAAGCGGACCATGCGCTAAATGGAAGCAGCCTATAGACGGCGGGTGGAACCCTACCCATGTAAGCAATTAGACCAGGTAGCTAATTTCCAACAGCCGTGGTTATCGCAATTCTACATTTAATCAACATGTGCTTTTTTGTTAATTCTCTTACCTGATTTTCTTACCAGTATCCCAAGTTTAAAGGTGGCATAATTATTGACTTATCGCCTCTTTAAAAATACTTTTGTTGTAATATATTGACTCCATGTTAATTTAAAGTGTTTTGTTTTCCATTTGTTATCCACTTCAAGCAAAGAAAAGCAGCAGTTGAAAAGCAGTGCCGAAATTAGTTTGCACAAATAAATCCCGTTAGGTACGCACGCTTTGAATTCGTACCTTGGAAAATGCTTAAAATGCATTTAGAATATGTTGACATATCATGAAGATTGATGTAGATACCGAAGCGGTTTCTAGGAGCAGCTTACGTGGCATTCTGAGTTGTAATATTGACTGCTAGACAAAATGCTATAGCCATTTTGACGTCAATTGGGGATACCGCTGCATTTGCATGGACTTTATCCGGCTACTTACAATAACTGCATTGCTTACTATACAATTAACTAAGTTTCAAAGAAAGTTTGCAGACCGAGATTATTTCCTCTGACTCACGACATTAGCCTACAGAATACAGAACAAAGCTGCTACACAAATGCATGACTTAAGTAATAGAAATAATGTTCATTTAACTACGATGTCTTTAACTGGCCGAATATAGGCATGAATAGCCTTCCTTTGGCATTGGAAACATTTTCTACTGCGGAGTAATATGGACCAAGTCGATGGTTTCACTTTTGTTTAGGACTTCCAAGCTACAGACTGTACAAGTTCCGTTTAAGAAACGCCATACATTTTACTACTCTGGTACAAAGATAACTTGTGTTCCGTCTTATTTAATTGATATTTTCCCCTAAAAAATCACTGCTAATGCTTTACTTTCATTTAAATGGTTGGAAGTATATTTTTCTTGGAATAATGCGTGACTTTTACGTAGGACGACAGAATCGTTATTTCATTTAGAACTTAGAGGACCACCTGAGTGTTTTTCGAATGCAACAGAAGAAGACCAACGTGCCTATGGAGTTATTGTGACAATTAGGGAGGACAGATTGTCCACTTACGATTGTATCCATTGTTCACAACAAGGAAAGCTTCCGAAATGTTTGACCTGGTCTCAGGAACGTCAACCACGGCCCCACTGCCCAGACCCAGGTAGGTGGCTGCTTCAGTGTCCAAGTTGATTGGCGACTGGCCCCAGTCAGAAGACATGGTGGGGCATCTATAAGCCCAATGGCTTGGATGGCTGTATAAGTACACGAAAGTGGAATCCAGACCTCTTAAAAAGATGAAACAAATATGAGTTTTTTATAATGACAAAAACCAAAAGATAAGCGAGGTTGTGATTTTGCCCTACTGAAATAGACAAGTTAAAGTGCAAGTAAAGAATTGGTTTAGTCAGTTATATCGTTTTTTTGCTGGGCCACAAGGGTCAGGTATTTTGCTCAAAAAGCACCGTTACGCTTGCAGTTAACCGTCATTATCAAGATCGGTGGGGAATCTGCGGGGCGACCGCTAGGCATATGCTGCAATAGGAAACATGATGCACGGTCGTTTACATATGCAGCGATTGTGAAGCTCACAATAACTACTGATTAAATTTGCTTTAGGTCATGTAAAAAAAACCTCTTTGTAGCTCAGAAGAAGGAGAGGCTTCAGCGTTAGAGGTTTACTAAATCTCAGTCGTTTTGGGTGGATGGTAAAATTCATCAAGGCAACCTTCCAGTCTTATTTCTGAAATCATCAATTGAAAGAACCCTATTTATGTATTACCTACGTACCATAAATTACAAAAACGAAACAAATTTGTGTTTTACGGATTACGCTTCGTGGTCATATGTAAACACTTGATGTCACAATTTAAGAGTCTTATATGTTCTCAAAATAGTGCTATGACGCATTCATAGCTTATAACGGCATAAACAGGAATACGAAAAGCCCAATCGCAAACTAAATTGTCATTTAATTTGTTTTTCCTCATCCTTTTTGTTACCTAGACTACCTGAATACAGATACAGATTATTTATCAAAAGGGCAAGAAAACCAGCTATTAACATTATAGAATAAAAAAGCAGGGATTCCGTATCAGAATGTGCATTATCAGATTATTATTCACACATTTCAATTGAGGAAATGGTACACGACCCTGAACCTGACATAACTTTATTGTTGATATACTCCCCGGCAAGGTAGGAAGTCCAACTTCAGCGAATTACAGGTTATTAGTGAATTATAGATTGATTTTGTTAGAAAATATAGGAGAGTGCATGGAGGGAAAAGCGTAAGGTATGCCGATTACAATGCGGTCACTGATAGGCATGGTAGCACTACACTTGGTGAATCAACGTTCACTTCCGAAGGCAAAAATTTGAGCTCACATGCTAGTCATTAAGCGCCCTTTAAAAACCATAGGGTTATGGAATCGGCAGAATTCTTAAACTTAAATATCACTGTCTATTGCTATGCAGCCCACGATGAGGAGGTTGAGCCCAGTCACGAGTTCTCGCAGCATTCGTGGTTTTCGGAAAAAAAAACATTGTGAATGTGATCGCTAAATACGCATCCAGGATTAGGTGGGTAAGTAGTACCTGGTTACTTGTCTGTCTAAAACTTATCAAATCAATTTATGCAATTATCTTCCGTATTTGAGAGTTCTTACTTGTAGGAATTTGTATGGAAGGATTGTGCCTACCCTTTTAAAAATACAATTATCTGCTAGCACTCTAATCATGCAGTGCTCTTGAACTCACCGAGGCAAAAGTAAAAAACAGGCAATAGAAGGAGTTAACATAGGCGTTCGTGTAT